TCGGCCTCCCAAAGTGTTGGGATTATAGGTGTGAGCCACCACGCCCAGCCCATAATGCCACTTTTTGAAAGGATAAAAGTAAGACAACAGTGGATGACAAAAGTCTTACAACAGTCATAGTTAAAGACACAATTTACATGGAAATTTGGTTACTTCTGTGGCATATAACAATTTTAGGTAATAATTACAATTACTACTGATAGTTAACTACTATTGATAATATTTTAAACCAGGCTGGAGTGCAGTGGCAGGATCAAAGCTCACTGCAACATCCGCCTCCCAGGTTCAAGCAATTCTCCCATCTCAGCCTTCCGAATAGCTGGGATTACAGGCACGAGCCACCACACCCAGCTAATTTTCTGTATTTTCCGTAGAGACAGTGCTTCACTATGTTGGCTCGGCTTGTCTTGAACTCCTGAACTAAAGAGATCCACCTGCCTCAGCCTCCCAAAGTGGTAGGATTACAGGTGTGACTCACCGTGCCCAGCCCATCTCTACAAAAATACACACAAAAAAATTAGCTAGGCATGGTGGCATGTACCTGTATCCCAGCCAATTAAGAAGCTGAGATGTGAGAATAACCTGAGTCCAGTGGGTCAAGGCTGCAGTGAGCAGTGATCAAGCCCCTGCACTCCAGCCTGGGTGAGGGATTGAGATACTGTCTGAAAAAAAAATACATTTAAGTATTTGATATTTATATATGATACCGAGGCAGGAGAATAGGGTCTGAGGCAGGGAACATAAGACTCATACATGCAGACTTCCCAGAACTAAAGCAAATGAAAACACTTTAGCTATGACAGAAAATATTCTCTCCATTTACATAGGGTGTACACTGGGTAAATGACTGTAACTTCACCCTCTTTGTGCACATCGGGCATACATGAAATAGTCAATGGAAACCTCTGGAGGATGTTTAAACATGAGAAAATTCTATAACCGGGCTCTTGAACCTCTGTACTTGGCCTCGCTCTTACCCTGTGGAGTGCACTTTGGTTTTCAATAAATCTCTGCTTTTGTTGCTTCGTTCTTTCTTTGCTTGTCTGTGCATTTTGTCTAATTCTTTTTTTATTTTTACTTTTTTGTTGAGACAGAGTCTTACTCTCTTACCCAGGCAGGAGGGCAGTGGTGAGATCTTGGTTCACTACAACATCCGCTTCCCAGGTTCAAGCAATTCTCCTGCCTCAGCGTCCTCAGTAGCTGGGATTACAGTCAATTTCCACCACGCCCAGCTAATTTTTGTATTTTCAGTAGATAAGCTTTCACCATGTTGGTCAGGCTGGTCTTGAACTCCTAACCTCATAATCCGCCTACCTCGGCCTCCCAAAGTGCTGGGATTGTCTAACTCTTTGTTCAAGATGCCAAGAAACTGGACACCCTCCACTGGTAACGCCTCCTCTATGCTGCATAACTTTTGTAGCACAGAGTTGTTTATCTTTAGATAATGTACATTTTCTGACTTTTTTCAGTGACACATTTTGTATTTTGTATCCAGTTTGGAAAAGCATTTTTATTGTCTGTGCAAATAAACTTATTTTCACTTATTTTCAGCTAATTACCTTAGCCACATATTTTTAACATATTTTCTTTAATTATCTGGAAGAGTTGATATAGTAATCTTTATATGCTCACTCAGAACATATAAAACATATAATAAACATATAATAGCATCTGGACACTATTTTTATAATAAACTAACTTTATTTATTTTTGAGATGGAGTCTTGCTCTGTTGCAAGAGTGCAGTGGTGCAATCTCCACTCGCTGGACCCTCCACCTCCTGGGTTCAAGCAATTCTCCTTTCTCAGCCTCCTGAGTAGCTGGGATTACAGGCCTGTGCCACCACACCCAGCTAATTTTTGTATTTTTAGTAGAGACAGGGTTTCACCATGTTAATCAGGGTTGTCTCAAACTCCTGACGTCGTAATTAGCCCGCCTTGGCCTCCCATAGTGTTGGAATTACAGGCATGAGCCACCATGCCTGTCCTCATAAACTAACTTTTGTAATACGTTTCAAATGCTACTTTGATCAGACACTCTATGTATTTTAAATGCATTCTTTTAAAATAGATGTAAAAAAAGGAAACCATGTCTTTTATAGCAACATGGATGCAGCTGGAGGCCATTATCCTAAACAAATTAATGCATCATCAGGAAACCCAATACCCCATGTTCTCACCTATAAGTGGGAGCTAAACATTGAGTACACATGGACATAGAAAGGGAAACAATAGACAGTGGGGCCTGCTTGAGTGGGGAGGGTGGCATGGGCCAAAAAACTATTGGGGGCCGGGCGTGGTGGCTCACGCCTGTAATCCTAGCACTTTGGGAGGCCAAGGTGGGTGGATCACCTGAGGTCAGGAGTTCAAGACCAGCCTGGCCATCACGGTGAAATCCCATCTTAAAAAACAAAACAAAACAAAACAAAACTATTGGGTACTGTGGTCACTAACTGGATGATGATATAATTTGTAAACCAAGCCCTAGTGACATGCAATTTACCCATGTAACAAGCCTGCACATGTATCCCCTAAACCTAAAAACTGAGAAAATTAACAATAAATGAATGAGGTATAATCGTTGAACGTTGTGGAAGGTAACCAAGGCCATTGAAAAATAGTGAGAGCACCATATTTGGAAAGTGGCCCAGACACTGAGGTAAGGGGGGGGTGTCAGACAAATCATCACCTATTAGAACAGGAAGTCATCAGATAATATACCAAGTTGACATATTGAGAAGGGGTAGGATCTCCCTATTATATAATACAGAAATAATCACTCAGATATAGAGATTAGAAATAGTTTAGAAAATGTAAGCATTTGATTATTTAGGGAGTATATCTGGGAGCATTAGAGAAACAGGGTTAGGGAGTAGACTGCATGAGAAGCTCTTAGCGTTTGATTTTTCAATTATGTGCATAGGTTTCCTACGTAACATGTAAAATTTAATTAGAGAACAGAAAAAGTTGTGTTTTGGGGTCCCAAAGGTTCAGTGATTAACTAGAAGGACTCACAAAACTGAGTCCATCTGTTACACTCATGGTTATAGTTTATTACAACAAAAAGATACAGATTAGCCTTTCGGCAGGAACCACCATCTTCCAGTAATTCACCAGAATGACGAACACAAAGGGAAAGAGGAGAGGCACTCTCTATATGTGTTCTCTAGGTTTTTTAGAAAACATGGAGTTGTCCCTTTGGCCACGTATATGCGAATCTGTAAGAAAGGTGATATTGTGGACATCAAGGGAATGGGGACTGTTCAAAAAGCAATGCCCCACGAATGTTATCATGGCAAAACTGGAAGAGTCTACAACGTTACCCAGCATGCTGTTGGCGTTGTTGTAAACAAACAAGTTAAGGGCAAGATTCCTGCCAAGAGAATTAATGTGCATATTGAGCACATCAAGCACTCTAAGAGCTGAGAGAGCTTCCTAAAACGTGTGGAGGAAAATGATCAGAAAAAGAAAGAAGCCAAAGAGAAAGGTACCTGGGTCCAACTGAAGCGCCAGCCTGCTCCACGCAGAGAAGCACACTTTGTGAGACGCAATGGAAAGGAGCCTGAGCTGCTGGAACCTATTCCCTATGAATTCATGGCATAATAGGTGTTAAAAAATAAATAAATAAAAGGCCCCTGGACTGTTAAAAAAAAAAAAAAAGATACAGATTAAAATCTGCAGCAGAAAAGGCTGCATAGGGCAGAGTCCAGGAGAGACCAAGCACAAGCTTCCAGTTGTCCTCTCCCAGGGGCATCATGTGGACAGTGCTGAATTCCCCAGTGATATGTGTTAACACACAGAAAGTACTGGCAAACAAGAAGCTTACCTGAGCCTTGGTGTTGCGGGTTTCATTGGGGGCTGGTCACATGGACGAGAGCACCCATCTGAATGACCTTAGTTTCTCTGTGTCCACCTTCCTAAGGTGAAGCTGACATTACACTGCATGGTCCAAGGTCCCCATAATAAGTCACTTTGTTAACATAGACTATCTGGTGTGGGTAACACCAGACAGGCAAGATAGTCCAAGGACTGAGAGGTCACTTTCCAGGAGTTGGGCTAGAGTCAAACCTTTCTTTGGAGTGCGGGGTTTGGACAATTCAGGCCTACTAAGTTTCCTTAACTGCACACCAGTGATAGTGAATGTATAGGAAATGAGTAGTCTCATACATTGCTGGTGAAAGTATAGTGTTATATAACCCTTTGGAAAGAAGTCTAGTGTGTAGTGCACAGACGCTATATTTGGTTTGTTTTTGTTTTTTTCTAAAACAGGGTCTCACTCTGTCACCCAAGCAGGAGTGCAGTGGCATAATCACAACTCACTGTAGCCTTGACCTCCTGGGCTCCAGCTAACCTCCCACCTCTGTCTCCTGAGTAGCTGGGACCACAGGCACGTGCCACCACATCCAGCTAATTTTTGTGTTTTTTGTACAGAGGGGGTTTCACCATGTAGGCCAGGCTGGTCACAAACTCCTGGGTTCAAGCAATGCTCCACCTCAGCTCCCCAAAGTGCTAGGATTACCTAGCGACTGCCCAGAAAAAACTTCTTTCTAAAAGTTGCATGTGTCTGCGGGGAGCTTCTAACCCCGCCTCTACTAAAATGCAAATAAATTAGCCAGTGTGGTGGCCCGTGCGTGTAATCCCAGCTACTAGGCAGGACAATCACTGGAACCCGGGAGGCGGAGGTTGCAGTGAGCCGAGATGGTGCCATTGCACTCCAGCCTGGGCGACAGGGCAGGACTCCTTTTCAATACAAAACAAAACAAAATGAAATGAAACAATCTCAGGCTGCCTGCTCAAAGGACCAGAAGCCAGGAAGTTTACAAAAAACTGAAGTTAAAAAAAATAATTTTTATTGTATTCTTTTAATATGTGAGCAGCCATACAGTATATAATTTACAAATACACAAGGCCTTATACACAAGGCTAAAGGCAACACCCTCTGGGGTGGACCTGGCTCAGCGCAGGTAGGAGAAGCCCTGCCTGAAAAGGCTGTACCTTCGGCTGTCACTCTTTCTTCAATCAGCCAGCGTTTGGTCATGTCTTCTGTCACTCAGGTCTTGGGTCTTAAACCTTATCCAGTGAGCGACGCTGCCCTGAGAACCGTCCAATCAGGCACGCAGCTGGAGCGAAAAGGGCGGCTTCTGGGATGTGGCGGCGGCTTTGTGTCTTGCTGCAGCCGGAGTTTCCGGTCTTGTCTTCGCTGCCACTATAGGCCCAACCTCCGAGGACTTGTGACCTGCTGGTACTGGAGATCCACAGCTAAGATGCCAGGACCCCCTGGAAGCCTAGAAATGGTGTGAGTGCCGGGTCCGACCTCGGGGAAAGGGTTTGCTGGAACCGGTGGGACGTGGCTGTGGCGGACTCAGGCGTCCCCGCAAACAGCTCCATAATTTGTGCCCGGAGTTCTCCTTCCCAGACCGGCCTCAGTCCCCTTCAGCAATAAGATGGCGACCGCGCAGTGACTGTGCCCTGGCCTGAAGCCCTCTCTGGGCAGCTCTGCACCCGGAGAGCTACCTCTCTTCTAGCTTGTCTCTCCCAGGGACCAAGGGAGGGTCGTCAGGGGAGAATCCTGACTTGGTTGCAGGTCATGAATGGGAAGACCTTTGGCTTATGGGGTTCTCAGTTTCTCTTTTCTCTTGTTAAAAATTTACGGGAGTTATTGCGAAAATGTTTTTTATGACTGGGTGATTTCAAGCAGAATTACAAGGCCTTGCTTTGAAAATGCTACCAAGAAAAACAATAGGGAAAATCTCTCCTGCATTTTGGCTGTAGAAAATGAATACATTTCCGGTAAGGCGCAGTAGCTCACACCTGTCATCCCAGCACTTGGAGAGGCCAAGGCCAGCGGATCATCTGAGGTCGGGATTTCGAGACTAGCTGGCCAAAATGGCAAAACCCTGTCTATACCAACAATACAAAAATTAGCCCGGCGTGGTGGTGGGAGTATACAATCCCAGCTACTGGGGAGGCTGAGGCCGGAGAATCGCTTGAACCCAGGAGGCGGATGTTGCATTGAGTGGAGATTTTGCCACTTCACTCCAGCTTGGGCAAAAGAGCGAAACTCCTCAAAAAACAAACAAACAAACATTTCCACAAGAAAATGTGGTAGACAACTGGTGAGTTATGTAGAGTCATAAAAATATCACTTCCTCTTTTTGCAGGGTAAATTTGTGACAATGAATGTCTTTGTTCTGTATCCTGTTATCTTGACTTCTGAGTTTCATGCTAAACTTTATGAGATAAAACTTGGTACCTCCTAGAAATGTTCCCATATGACTAATTGTTTACTATATATTTTTAATGAAAAAATTTAGAATAAGACATATATTGTCTGAAAGGAATAGATACTTTTGCTTTTCTCATTGAGGTGTAAAATGTAAGCGCCTTATAATTTCATCCCTTTAGATAAACATTGTGTTTGAGTAATGTTGCAGAATTTTTCACACACGAAGTTTCAAAAACAAAGTAAATAACTGTGACATGGAAATAAAAGCTTGAGCCTAGTGCCTCCAATCTAAGGCTAATATTAAACCTCCAAAAGAAGGTTATTAACAGCCCAATTAATTGTTTCCTAAAGAGACTCCCTTGAAGATGTCCCAGCCTACTCACCCCAGCAGTGGAAGAATCCTTTATAGTAAGAGAAGCTACAGAACCCTGTAAAGCTGGGGACCCACAGGCAAATGCAGTTAAGGATAAGAAGGAAAATAACTGGTAGGATTTTTGTGAAGATGAAGTTGTTATTGTTTTGAAGCAGTTTCTAGATTGTTTAACACAAAGCAAAGTTAGATTTATGTAAAAAAAAATAAATTCCAGCTGAGAGCAGTGGCTCACACATGTCATCGCAGCACTTTGGGAGGCTGAGGCAGGTGGATCACAAGGTTAGGAGTTCAAGACCAGCCTGGCCAACATAGTGAAATCCGAATTCTACAAAAAAGACAAAAATTAGCCAGGTGTGGTGGCACGCACCTGTAGTCCCAGCTACTCGAAAGGCTGAGGCAAAGAAGAATAGCTTGAATCTGGGAGGTGGAGGTTGCACTGAGCCAAGAATATGCCAGTGCACTCTAGCCTGGGTGACAGAGTGAGACTTTGTCTAAAAAAATAATTCCAAAGGAGTATTGCAACAGAAGAAAATACCTAATATAAGATCTGTAAAACTTGCAAAGTCAGACAGACAAGGGCTTTCTTTTATAGGAAGGAGCAAACAAGATTACAAAGAAGGTAAATGGCAAATGAGAGGTGAAAAAATCAGATTCTACATTAATGTTTTACCCTGAAGTCAGCATGTCCTTAAGAAGGACATAACATGGGGTTGTATTTTGACTCAGATTGAGTGTAGCTGAATGTTCAGGAGCCTGTGGGCAGGAGACAAACTTAAGTGAAGTTTGATTAAAAAGTATTTTATTTTGACCACTGAAGAAAAATTCAGCTGATTTTTTAAAGTGAGAAGAAGAAGATAATGTGCAGAGTCTATGTCTGGCTATGTGATAGATCAGAAAAAAGAGCCCCAACTAAGTCATAATGGAAAGCTTGTTTCTTTCCATAAACTGTTTCTGGAGAACACAAAAGGATAGAGATTTTTATTAATCATAACTATTTACCAGGATTATCTATGTACTTGATCTTTACCCATTTTTTCTTTATCCTATTTCCTCCCTCCCTCCCTTTCTTCCTTCCTTTCGTTTCTTTCATTTCTTTCATCTCACTTTTGTTGCCGGGGCTGGAGTGGCATGATCTGGGATCACTGCAACCTCTGCCTCCCAGGTTCAAGGGATTCTTCTACCTCAGCCTCCTGAGTAGCTGGGATTACAGACATGCGCCACCACACCTGGCTAATTTTTTGTATTTTTAGTAGAGACAGAGTTTCTCTGTGTTGGTCAGGCTGGTCTCAAACTCCTGACCTCAGGTGATCCACTCAGCTTGGCCACCCAAAGTGCTGGAATTACAGGTGCGAGCCTCCACCCCAGGCCACATTTCCTGTATATGACTTTTTCTTAGTTGTATTTTCTATAATAAGCTGGTAAATGTAACTACAGTGTTTTGCTGAGTTGTGTGAGTAGCTCTATCAAATTATGAAACTTGAGGGAGGTTATGGGAGTCCACAATTTTTAAACAGTAGTTCAGGAGCATAGATAGGCCTATGGGTTTTGTGACTGGTATCTGCCCTTAGGACAGTGTTGTGAGGCTGAGCCCTGAATCAGGGTCTGTGCTGACTCTGCATAGTATCAGAATTCAAATTCAAATGTTAGTCAATGAGTTGGTGTTGGAGAAAGCCTTGGTGTTCAGCAAACTCTCCAGATTTGGTACAGGAAAAAAGATATTAGAGAGGCCTGGCCTGGAATCAAACTCTGGTTGTCTGGGAATGGAAGGCTCTGCTCCCCTGTACACAGGCTGTCACACTGCCCATTGTCCTGTGATTCCAGGTCTCCTCCCAGGATTTAAGAGGATAAAAACTCAGAAGAACGAAACTCTGATAGCAGACCCCCTTTTTCCACAGCTGTCACTACGGGATTCCCACTCACTCACAGGCTTACCCATTAGATATTAATGTGTCCACACCTCTCCCAGGACAAGGCACCACCCAGAGAAATTTCACAACAGCATTTTTGATTCTAGTGTTTCTTGGCAAAAACCTACAAAAGTGTCTACAAGTCTCCTTGCATATCCCCACCCCCAGACACTGAATCTGCCACAGCAACCTGTTTTCCTCAACAACTGAGGGTTCTGGACCACCTGTTCTTAATCTCATCTGCCTGCATAAACACAAACATGCATCAGAGTATACCTCCACCTGAGCCGCTGTCTGTAGCACAGACCAGTTCTTCCGCCTACATCGCGCTGTTTCGCACTCATAGATTTTTGTTTACCTTTTATTTTTGTTGCAAGGGTGCACATGTAGGTTTTTTATACAGCTAAAACTGTGTATGGGAGTTTGGTGTGCAGATTATTTTGTCACTGAGGTACTAAGCATAGCACCAAAAAGTTGTTTTTTTTTTTTTTTCTGATCCTCTTTATCCTCCCATTCTTCAATCTCAACTAGGCCTCAGTCTCTGTTCTTGTCTGTGTTCCTGTGTTCTTATTATTCAGCTTGTACTTAGAAATAACATGCATCTGGTTTTCTGCTGCTGCATTAGTTCTCTAAGAGTAGTTTCCAGCTTCATCCATGTTGCTTCAAAGAACATGGGCGTGTGTGTGTGTGTGTTTTAATGACCACACAGTATTCTATACTATTTATGTAACGTATTTTATTTTTATTAAACTTTTTATTTTATTTTTGAGAACAGGGTCTCACTCTGTTGCCCAGACTGGAATGCAGTGGCGTGATCTCAGCTCATTGCAGCCTCAATGGGGTGGGCTCAAGCAATCCTCTTCTACTTTAGCCCTCCCCCCAAGTAGCTGGGACTGCAGACACACACTAGCAGGCCTGGTTATTTTTTTTGTATTTTTTGTAGAAATGGGATTTTGCTCTGTTGCCCTGGCTGGTCTCAAACTTTTGAGCTCAGGCAGTTTACCTGCCTTGGCCTCCCAAAATTCTGAGATTACAGATGTGAGCCACCATGCCCAACTATACCATATTTTCTCTATGCAGTATACAATTGATAAGTACTTAGGTTGATTCCATGTCTTTGCTATTGTGAATAGTGCTGCAATGAAGATGCGTATGTCTTTAGAATAATTTGTATTTTACTGGGTACATGCCAAATTATGAGGTTGCTGGGTCAAAAGGTAATTCTTGTTTTAGTTCTATGAGGAATCAACACATTGCTTTTCACAATGGTGGAACTAATTTACATTCCCACTGGCATTGTATAAACATTCCCGTTTCTCTGTAACCTTGCCAACATCTGTTATCTTTTGACTTTCTTTTTTTGTTTTTCTTTTTTAAAGATGGGGTTTGTGGGTCAAGCTGGTCTTGAACTCCCGACCTCAGGTGATCCGCCCGCCTTGGCCACCAAAGTGCTTGGATTACAGGTGTGAGCCACCACGCCCGGCCACTTTTGACTTTCTATTATACTAGCCATTCTCGCTGGTGTGAGATAATATTTCATTGTGGTTTTTCTTTGAATTTCTCTAATCATTAGTGATGAGCATTTTTCATATGCTTATTAGTCACATGTATGTCTTTTAAAAAACATCTTTTTCATATTTTTTGCTACTTTTAAATTCAGGTCTTTTTTTTTCTATAAACTTGTTTCTTTTTTTTTTGAGACAGAGTCTCACTCTGTCGCCAGGCGCCATGCTGGAGTGCAGTGACACAATCTCGGCTCACTGCAACCTCCGCCTCCTGGGTTCAAGC